TATTTTTTTCGAGACTAAAGCGTGCTCTTTCGCGTAAAAACTTAGGTCGAGTTGAAGACGTAATATGGCGTAGATAATGTATTTTAAGTCACAGTGCAGTTTGCCCGTCCTTACCCACAATTCTTGCAGGCTTGACAAAAAGAAATAGTAAATTTGTGTTCATTGAAAATGGCAAAACTATGCATGTTATTTAAAGATATTCCACACACGTTAGTAGCATTCTTTCCAAACTCAAAACTAGCTTTCCAAACTCATGGAAAGCTATATCACTCTATACATGTGTACAAATTTTTATTTACTTCTAGAATAAACGTGTCCCGTTTTCATGCATTTACAAGTTACGGCAACGATGGACTTGTCTCTCAGTGTAATCTTAACTGTAGCTGCAAAATAGACCATTTCATACCCGTGTGCGGCTCTGACAATATTGTCTATGCAAACCCATGCTATGCAGGTTGTTCTGTTAAATATAACAATAAGGTGAGTGAATCACATGGTTTCTTATAATTTTCTACCGAAGTTAAGGAAAAAGAAGAATTAGAACGTTACTTGTGGTCAGTAGATGGAAATTGGTTCAGCTTTTACGATTATCGTGGTATACGGATTATTGTTTTCAGTACTATATGGAGTAAATATTTTCGAACGTTTTGTGTTTTAATAGACGTTTGGGAGTTGTTCTTGCATCCATCCTGGTCCTACCAAAACAGATACTGCAATACAAGGTTACTGTGATCGGAATTGTGAAAATCTGGCCATTTTTCTATTTCTCATCGCTCTGACGATGTTTTTACGCTTCACAGCCGCCGTTCCATCGCAAACTGTTGTTCTCAGGTAATAGGCAACCAGGGCGACCACGTTCCATATCCCGGATCGATGTAAAAAATTTATCTGCATGGGTGCTGATAATAAAAGTACATTTTGAAAATAAAATTATTAAATAATTTGTAATTTACAATCATTTTTTAAACAGTCAAATTTAACTTATATATTAAAGATATATATATATATATATATATATATATATATATATATATATATATATATATATATATATATATATATATATATATATATATATATATATATATGTATATATATACAGTAGGAGGCAAAAGTTTGAGTCCAGTAGTTGTAGAATTCCAGTATTAAATCCTGGCAGCGTATTCGAGTTAAGACATGCGTGCTAATGTTTCTGTACTGTAAACTATATTAATTGCACACTGTTTTGGCCTAATGATCTAAATTATCAGAAAATAAAGTTCTCATTCCTTTACACTGCCCAAGATGGGTGGGAAAAAGGGCAAAGTGATGGTGCACAAGGACAAATAGTTGCATTAAGTATTGAAGGATTCTTTCCTCGTAAGATCGCAGAAATAGTGAGAATTTAAAAAGGTGGTATGCAACTAACCTTGGAGAGGTTCGAAGAAACTAAATCCTACTCAAGCAAACTTTTAGCTGCTTTGGTCATGCTCGGTTTGGCAATATTGAAAGATATAATAGGATCCTAATTAAAGAAAAGTATCATCCAATTCTTCAAGGACATGGAATTTCATTTGGTTCAAAGATGATCGCACGTCTAACTACATGATAATCACCCTAAGCACATGCACATCTTCTATGTGCCAGAAATCTTTTAGAAGCAAACTCATTTGGGTGATCTCGTTCTCATGGCTTTCCACCTCAAATTCCAGATCTAAAACTTATGGAGCACTTGTAGAACCGTTTTAACCGGAAGAGGACGAGGCACAGACCCGCCAGCCAGGATGACTTGAGGCAAGTGGTCAACGAATGCTGGCAAGGTATTGAACGTGCGACATTAAAAAACCTATGGAATCTATGCGAGCAAGAATAAAGGTCATTTCAAGAGCAAAAAAGAGGGATACTAAGCAATGACATGTAAATGCATGTTTGCACATTAACATACGTAAAAATGAATATTATAACATCTCATAGTTGTTGTACAGCATGTATTTTTCTGTTTACTTATTTACTTTTTTCTAGTTCACTTATCGGTAAGGTTTTCTGTAGAATATTAATATATGCTGCTAAAACAATGAAATACAGTCACTGGACTCAAACTTTTGCCTCCTACTGTATATATATATATTCACTAATATAAGAGCAAAGAGGCTGAGTAACAAGTTAAACGAGATTGTATATTGATTTATATAGATTTTGTCTACTCCTCCTTCACTATATACATATTTAAATGCACGGGTACACTGTGACTATGTGTAATATATCCAGTCTCCGTAGCTACGTACTCTCTTAATTGCAGGTGCGTTCCGGAAGACAAAAGAGCTTTTGCAATGGGAATACAATATGTTTTGGTGAAGACAATCGGCTTAATTCCAGGTCCAATAATTATTGGTTATCTATTGGACATTTGCTGCCGACTATGGCAAGATCTATGTGGAAAGAGAGGAAGGTGTTTTGATTACGATGTTGATCTTGCTGGAAGAAATATATGTATCTTTGGAGTAATAACAATTGGTAAGAACGTTAGAAGTCGCGCTTTTTGAGACACATTTTGATAAAATTGTGTTTTGATAAAATTGTACAATTTATCAAATTGTATGACATGCAATATGATAAAATACATTTCACCATATTGTTATAAATGAGAAACAATAAAAAAACTTGCAAGGTCATGTGTTTTTTTATCCCTGCAATTTTTTATCACTTAAAACTTATTTAAGTTTACTTAAAACTTATTTGCATGCTTGGCTGCAACGTGATTAGTGCACTGTTTTCTCACAAACGATACGATGACGAAACGATATTGTTTCAGAAAATTACATGTTTCTACAAATTATTGCACTGCTTTCTGGGATTCGAGAGATCTTTGCTTGTGAATCGTCAGAAACATTTAACAACCGCAGTTACAAAAGCCAAGATTTTTTATGTTTACCACGTCACATATGAATGGCAATAATTTTTATTTTTAGGTATATCATCAGCGTGTCTTGTGCTTTCTTGGCTTCTTTATCATCCTCAGGAAACTCCCGACAGCACTGTTCATGGAAACACCAACGAAGAAGGCATATCAAGTTTTGACACTGTGATGTAGCGTGATGATGCTATAAATAAATATGCTTTACCTGATAAATCTTTATTTTAATATTTAGTCTTTGCGTTAACGTTAGCCAAGAGCAGTAGACAGCTCGCTGCATGAGGTCGCATTTTCGGGAAAATTTAACATTCCGCCTTAATCACCACGAAACTCTTGAAACGTATAGTCACTTTGTTTCCGACTGACCTGCTTATATTACGTCTTTTTGATTTCAAAACGCAGTTGACCCTCCAGGATACCTATTGGCTGAACTGAAAATATACGGTATCAGGAATACGACGTATCTTGATCTGTTTAAATTATATCTATTTTACCGAACTTATATCAACGATTTTCCTATTTGCTTAAAATACACTACAGCACTGTCTATATTTGGTAAACCAATTGACTGAAGAAGAGACCTGATTAGTGGCCGCCTGAGAACCCGCGTGTTCTGATTCGTCCCTTTTTTATGGTAAGAAATTTGTCTCTAAATGATGAGAAATTTGTTTTAACGGGTTTTAATGATATATGTCCTTTTCTGAAAGAACTTTTATATATCCCTAATTAAGTTAGGAGATTCATCTAGCCTTGTAGAACAGTATGTTAATACTGATCATAATAGAAGTAACGTTAGAAAAATTAAATTTCATTTATCGCTTCCGTTTCAACTACAAGCCCTATAAGGAGGTGCTGGCAATCTCAGAGACTGGTGATCACCAGCTCTGTTTTCTTAGCACTGAAATTAGAGGCATGCAACTGAAATAGAAAATGACACTTTTTGGATAAAATAATGGTAATGTACTAGAGCACATGCCGATTTAACGAATTATATATAGCTAATTGTTACAACGTTCGTATATTTTAGTACAGCACAGAAAAGGTGGCGTGATAAAAAACGCCCAGGCCATCATTACATAGAAATTATCGTAGGTCACAACCTAGAGAAAGAGACAGAGTTTGGGGTGAAAACTTTCGGAATTGCTTCGACGACATGCAGCCAGGTATAAAATGGCTTTGAACTTTTCGGATCGCTTTATAAATAGGTACGCTGACTGTGCAGACAAAAATATATATGTTCTTTAAATTACTGGAAATACTGGGAAGAAAATGTTCCAGAGGGATCATTTGGAAAAAAATTCGAATTCTGAGACTCAAGTGGCGAAACGTTCGAAGATATATTTCTGACACTCTTAGTATAGTGTCACGTTTTTACGTTGTTCCGTTGGCGGGCGAAGGTTCTTTAACATCAATTGGATATGATAACATTTCAGTCATAAAGTTTAAAGTTCTGCGCCAGGCCTACTTTAAATAACATGTTCAATTATACAACACACTTCCTTCTGACTGGAAAAATGCCAATACCAAAGAAAAATGTTTGTACTGTGCCAGACAATAACAGCCTACGTCAAGGGCAAAGGCCATTTTTTCAGTTTTGTAAGTTTTTGTTTACAACAAGACCCGCAGTGTAATATATTAAATATACAATCCAATGCACCAAATCTACGACGAGGGCGTGAAGTAATACTGTCCTGGCGTCTGCCTACACGCAAAATATCACCGCCCGCCATATTTGCCCCAAAAAGGGCCTGCGGAGGAGGTGGGTCCCGCGTTATTTTGACACTGGGTTTCACAACAGAACTAAAATATTAAAGACTCGTTTTGGTAAACAAAGCCAACGCCGTCTGAAAAGCCCTATGTGCATGAAACAAATTAAAAGTGGGTTCCTAACACTAGGGCCATGTCACGTCCGCGTCGTAGATTTGGTGCATCTTAAGGTCCTTTTATATTCAATACAACACGGCCGCGATATATAATAAATATACAAATTACTCACAAACGCTAGTGGTTGTATTAGAAAAATACAACCACTAGTGTTTATAATCGATTTGCATATTTATCAATCTTATTTGTATGGGGAATACAAGGTGTGCATGTGACCTAATTCACGAAATTTGGTTGGTTATAAACCTTTTTAAACGATTTTCGCAATAAAAGTTGAAGGCATTATGTATGAATAAATGCAAATCGAGTATAGATGCGGCATTCATCGTGTCAAAAATTTCTTGTTATAATCTTCTTACGCTGTAACGTACGTCATTTTAAAAGTTTCTAATGCCTCAAGAATGAGGAGTTATACAGGGTGTACATGTGACCTAATTAACGAAATTTGGTTGGGTATAAACCTTATTAATTATTCATGATTTTCGCAATAAAAGTTGATGACATTATGTATGAATAATTGCAAATTGAGTACAGATGCGGCAATCATCGTGCCAAAAATTTCTTGTTATAATCTTCTTACGCTGTAATGTACGTCATTTCAAAAGTGTCTAAGCCTTAATAATGAGGAGTTATATGTCTTAACGTGCATGTTATTAAGCAGGCGATATTAACGAACCTTATTATTCCCAAGATAGGATATTCCGCGAGCTGTGTTGAGCAGTTTAATAATGGCATTGCTACATTCATCCTTTACACGCAATTTCCACTTCAGACGATCCTTCAGATTATCTCGGTCGTTGACTATTAAAGAAAAGCGTTTACCATCCTTTTCCACGTCGTCAACCGACAATAAAGTGTTGCCGTTTGCTGATATTCCAGGCCCCAGGGGAACATTTCAAAATATTCCCGACTACGTGTCGAACAAAGGTGCGATTCTTGAAGTTGCGGCAAAGCGCTTTGAAAGATTTGGTCCGATATACAGCGAAAAACTACTAAGCGAACAAAATGTGAATATTTGCGACGCTGATGCGATACAGAAGGTTTTAAGCAGTGAAAAAAAATTTCAGATGCGGCCCGGTTTCGATGCCCTCGCTGAAATCATTGAGGGCGACAACGGCCTTGGGTTTGCATCAAACGACTACGAAATATGGCATCAGGACAGATCGAGAATATCGCCAAAGTTGATGCGCCCAAAGGAAATCATGGAAACATTTCCAATCCTAAATACTGTAGCGAATGACTTCACGAAGCGATTAGATCAACTTAGAAAGTCTGACGGCGTAGTAGACAATATTCACGAGGAGTTAACGTATTTCATGGTGGAATCGTTTTCTTCGTTTCTGTTCAATCGGCGTCTTGGTTTCTACAACCATCCGCCAGAACCTGCAGCCGTCGCGTTTGTAAACGCAGCTCTGGATATGATATACAATATTGGGATGCTCTTTTACACGTTTCCTTTAAACAAGTATATCAGAACTCCGCCGTACTATCGGTTGAAGAAAAATCTTGCCACAATCCATACACTGGGTATGGACATTATAGACGAGGTATTTGCAACGAAGCAGCAGGAGCGCGAAAAAGAGTTTAGCAACAATCAATCAGTGTTTGAGTATCTTGTTGAAAACGGTATGAATACGCCGAAGAGTTTGGCGGCCATGGCAGGATTGTTAGCCGCCGGCGTTGATACAACAAGCATTACAAGTCTCTGGCTCTTGTACGAACTGTCCCGGAATCCAGACTTCCAGGATAAAGTTTATCAAGAAATTGCATCTGCCGTTGGTCCAAACGCAGAAGTATCAGCGAACAATGTCCCGTCGCTTCTCAAAGCAGCTTTGAAGGAGTCGCAACGCATGTATCCAGTCGCAGGTTATATTGTTCCTCGCGTGTTTCCTAAAGACCTCGAGGTTCTCGGTTACAACATCCCAGCTGGTGTGAATGTTTTCTTGCACGAATATTTGCTGTCCCTCGACGAGCGTTATTATGGGCAAGACGCGAAGCAGTTCGTGCCCGAGCGATGGCTGCGTGATGAAACTGGGGAGAAGAAAGAATTTCATCCGTTTACCACATTACCATTCGGTTATGGAGTGAGAATGTGCGTTGGACGAAGAATGGCCGTGTCAACTATCTATACTCTGGTAAGCAAAATACTACTCCGTTATCGTTTGGAATACGCGGGGGAAACCGAGGCTAATCCAACTGTACATGCAGGGATTATGAAACCAGACGGAGTTGTCCTAATGAAGTTCATTCCAAGAGAAATGAAGATAATTTAGTAAATAGTCATGCAATCACGATTTTTTTGTCTCTAAATTAATATTTTCATATAATTGCATGTTTAGATGATTGGATAATCGATTTCGTTGTTTTAATTGGCGATCAAATTAGGATATAGTTTAAATTAATTAATAGGCCATAGAAGGTCGATGTTTTAGCATCTAAACTGTAATTCATTGAATTTGTATGGACTATATTGTATTAAAATCGTACAGCATGTTCTGCTTGAAGAACTATAACCTTGAAAGAAACATTTCAGTTATGAGCATTATTTTTCTGTGCACTGAACGAGTGAGTGAGTGAGGGCGGATCTAGGATTTTTCAAATCACAATAAAAGTCCAGATTGAGAAAATTTTTCAAATCGGCAGATCGGAATTTCGATTATTTTGGCTCATGTTAGAGTTCATCGCTATGCCTAGGAAAGATTCCGCTAAAAAACACCGTATTAGATGCCTCGTGTGTCATATCTTAAAAGAGCAAGAGTCATATTTCAAAACACACAACTTCTTAAGCCCCGTACAGACGGACATGTTTTCCTTCACACGTTTTCTAGAACAGTTCACTTGCTCGTGTGTATGGTGAGCAGGTTTTCCTTGCCAAGTTTTATTTGCTCGTGTGCATACGCGAAAAATTTGGGAATTAACGAAATTTTTCTTGACAAGTTTTGCGATAATATATATGTCGAGTATACACTGTTAATTCAAAAGAGTCATTTTGACTCCTTCAAAGGAGTCGTTTTCTTGACCCCAGGACGACTCCTTGAAGAGAGTCATTTTGACTCATTTTGGGTTGACACCTGTAAAGAGTCATTTTAACCCTTTAACTAGAGTCATTTTGACTACCCATGGAGTCGTTTCAAAATGACTCTTGCAACAGTTAAAATGCAAATTAACTCCTCAAAAGTGTCGTTTTAAAAGAGTCATTTTGATTTTTGACTCTCCTTTGGCATCAATTTTACTCTTATTTGGAGTCATTTCGACTCCTTTTTGTCATCGATTTTACTCTTCTTTGGGGTCATTACGACTATTCTGTGGCATCAATATTACTCTTATTTGGAGTCATTCGACTCTTCTTTAGCATCGATTTTACTCTTATTTGGGGTCATTACGACTCCTTTTTGTCATCGATTTTACTCTTATTTGGGGTCATTACGACTATTCTGTGGCATCAATATTACTCTTATTTGGAGTCATTCGACTCTTCTTTAGCATCGATTTTACTCTCATTTGGAGTCATTTCAACTCTTCCTTGGCATCAATGTACTGTTATTTGGGGTCATTTGAACTCTTCTTTAGCATCGTTTTTGCTCTTATTTGGAGTCATTTCCACTCCTCTTTGACATCGATTTTACTCTTATTTGAGGTCATTACGACTATTCTGTGGCATCAATTTTACTATAGTACTGTACACCAATATTAGTTTCATGAAGCTTGCATATAATACAAAAGCAGAGTTTGGGTATATGCAGTGAGTATTACAGCATACCATACATGCATCCCGCAAATATGTTTCTTTGAAGAGAAATTATATATAATAAATATCTATATATAAGCATGCAGGCTTTAAAATATCGGCCAACAGGCCATCTGTCAAATGTCCGGTGTCTTTAAAAAATGGGTTGGGTATACATTTTTAAAATTAAAATATGGTAAATGGCCATATGTTAGCAGCAACTAATTAAGTAATGGTTTAAAATCGAATTTTCAAACGATTAAAACAGTACAAAACTTCAGAGACAAAGAAAAAGCCTCAAATGTTATTTATTCTGTAATTATAGTCGACGGCTAAACGTTTTATACTTCATAGTGTGTATTTTTTATATCAAAATTCAAATTACACTTTCAAAAACACTTTTTGAAGTTATAGCAAAGGTGTAATAGCCTTTTGCAGGTTTATCCGTTTGCATAAAAAGCTGAAAATTAAACAAATAAACGGCATACAAAGCTGAAAATTATACAATACAGCTCATCCTTATTGCGAAGCAAATACGAAAGAAACAAAGTAAACACGCACCCTTTGAAAACACTTATAATTAAGCTTGCATGCAGATTATGAATTATTTCTCTTACACGGCTTTCGGTCTTGATTGTATCCCTGTTCATCTTTGGTATCTGTCATGCTTCATATATCTTGTTTCTTCCCGTTTTACTTTGCACAAAGTTTATGAAACGCTTTTACAAAAAGGTTTAAGGTTTACGAAATGACAGTTAAATTGCTGACGTTCTCATTGAAATTCAAACTTTCTGTCTTAGCCAATCAGAACGTTTGTTGATTATTTGTCATTTTTGATATCAGCATATACTTACCAGCATGAGTCAGAACTATTAAAATGGATTTATGTATAATATATTTTTATGTGTGCATATCCTGTTCCAGCTGACATTTTCAAGAGATATAAAACCTATATACATGCAGCGTAATATATTTTTTTATATTTATTTTATTTTATAAATTTGCCATGTTAAAAAGTTAGAATGAACTACACATAAACTACAAATGAACTACACACATGCAGTGGCTGGAATCACCACACAGAGATATGTCTTCCACAACAAATAGACAGACACAAACATACACATATAAGCAACTTAACAAATTTATAAGACTTTCTCGATACATGAAGAAACGATAACAACTAATATCAAGTTATTTGTGTCATAATAATTGAGTATTTTTTTAATGTGTTGACTGGTTATTTGCTTCAAATACAAAGGATTTGTAATACATGTAACATGCCTAATGACTTCAATTTAATATTTTAAACATGCAAATTATTTGTTTTGTATATAAGTGGCTGTTATAAAAGCCAGAATGACTCTAAGAAAGAGTTCCACCACTCCAACAAAGAGTCATATGGCTCCAAAAACGAGTCACATGACTCCATGTGAACTCTACTTAAGAGTCTATTGACTCTTGCGAGAGTCTTGTGACCCTTCAAAGGAACTAAACGAGTCCTCCGAATTGTCATTTTAACCCAATGTCGGAGTTAAAACGACTATTAGAGTCGAAACGACACATTAGAGGAGTAAAAATGACCTTTTGAATAAAGGTGTTGAAATGACTCGCCCTGGTCAAAACGACTCTTTTGAATTTACAGTGTATTCGTTCCAATATAACCAGGGAGCAGCGTGGCAGCGTCTTCAAACAACTTAGCATTAAATGTGGTATAACAACGGCCTAACATAGACAAAACACTTCTCGACGTTTCGACCTAAGGGCCTTCGTCTGGAGAGTTATGCCCTCAGGTCCAAACGTCGAGAAGTGTTTTGTCTATTTTAGGCAGTTGTTATACACTTATACCACATTTGATGCTATGTCGAGTATATCTTACGACAATATGAGCTTTGATAAAATGAGTATACGACCGAATCTCAACTGAACTTCCAAAACAAAACTTCCAAAACCCGCTCAATTGGCTCGAAGATATTGTTGCGCAGTTTCCTAAACCAATTATCAAACAATCTAACGAGTCCTGAATGAGAAGGTTTATTCATTCTAGTGCATTTTTCGCTAGTTTTATAACCATAATATATTGAGCATATGAAGATTGTGATATCAGTATATTGATATAATTGATCAGGTTACACAACAAAGCGGCATGAAATCAAACCGGCGAACTTGTCACATGGAACACTCCTAAATCATTATATTTTTAGGTATATTGCTATATTTGTTATATTATATCCATATTATCTTGATTAAACGTTTCTCTTACCAACACGATCTCGGTTTTCGTGTTCAGCAGAGACATCGTGATTAATTTCCTCCACATGGTTTGGAGCCGGACCACATAAAACTACAATACAACTCATTAACTATATGTTGAGGCAGATTTATGCAAAAAAAGTTCCTTTCTCATCTCATGTCTATTGTATTTTGCACAGATAAAACAATAGCAATCTTATATAATTCACATATTTTTCCAGTCAACATAGAGGAGCTTAGCAAGATGAATGCCATTGGTAAGTTGGGCTAAAATACAATAGACACGTGACGAGAAAGGAACCATTTTTGCATAAACCTGGACAATAACATAGTTAATGGTTGTATTGTACTTTTATTTCCAAACCATGTATATTCTATTAACTGTGTTCCCCCGTACTTTAATAGCAAAGTCTATAACATCACCACAGTTGCTCGTATGAAATCGCTGCACCACGATAAAGTTTATCAAGAAGACAAGAACCAGTTATGTTGTAAATAAAATCCCACTTCGAATATCCGCGTATCAAAACAACTTTTCACAACAAAATACGATCACAGCTAATTGAAGCATAACTTGAACATCAAATTTAAAAAATTTAACATACCAGTGATTGTTAGCCATTTTTTTCTATAGATGTCGCTTTAACGCCGGAGCATACAATTTCGTTTACTGCATGTACGCCCGGGATATTGCTTGCCGTCCATGTCGCAAACTTCTATGCACTGAAATTTGATAAGCCAGGGGCCGGTTGTATGAAAGCCGGATAGCGCTATCCATCGGATAGTGTTTTTTTCAATCGCTTCAAAATCGCCCGGTATTTGCTACCACTTTGATCAAATCAGTTAGTATTCCTAAATCGAAGATTCTCTTTAATAATTGTTGCCTCCAAGCTGAAATTTTATCGCTTTTCGAGCAATTTTAGAACGGTTGAAAAAATCGACAGAAGTTTAATGTTCCTATCGCAATTGAGCTCGAACAGGTATTGAATATAAACTTCGGTCGAGGGTCGATATATATTTTTCAATTTCCCAAATTACCCGAAAATAAAATACTTAAGTGTATTTTCATTTACGACAAAGTTTTTGCACTTCAATGTCTGAATTGAAAACGACATTATAAATGAATAAACTTTTGTTGACCATTTGGGCCTGTTTACACGGAGTGAGTTATCCTGCGGCTAGGCGAGATAAAAAGCGTATCACATCAAAAGCTTAACCTGATTAGTCGTTCATTATATGCAGTTTTCACCTCGCCTAGCCGGGATAACTCGCTCCATGTAAACAGGCTCTCAATGTGTATAACGATGTGCAAGCAATTTACCGGTGTACGTACGCATTAATATTATACTATCACTCTAATAAACGGAAATACACGAGACCGCGGACAAGTAAGGAACGCGGGCGCGTGTAAAAAATAAAAAAGTCAGTGTCGGACAAATTGAATAGGGATTAATAGTTAATACGGTATATGACAGCGAATGACTTCAGATAAATAATTTATTTTTGCCAAAGAAATGCATGGGTAAATATAATTTTCAGTTATTCGAAATTATAGTACTGATTATTTTCTATTTCAAGCATGACAGCCTAAGTAAAGACTTAGCTTAGCTGGTTGCCATTTAATAATAACGAGTGAACGAGTCATTGGCCCGATG